CCTCATTTTCCACAGGCCTCTCTCTTTCCATTTTCCTACGTAAATATTGTAGCTTTTAGAAACACTCCACTGCAGCAGCTGGCTCAGAACGTTTCATTCAGTCAATAATTCATCCCTTCAGCAGAGTTCCGGGATGAATGACCCCCAGGGGCTGGATGGCAGGGCAGGCGAGGTGCCTGTCCTCCGCTGGCCCACAGGGGACGGTGCCATCCAGCCTGCAGCGCCAGGCAGCGCCGGGGGAGAGTCTGGAGAGCATCTGCTGGAGCGCTGTGAGTGACGCAGGCTTCCGGAGGAGATGATGTCAAGCGGAATCTAGGGCCGGTCACAGTGGTGGGGGAAGGGATAGGCTGAGAGGGGAAGATGAGGCTGTCAGGCAGAGGGGGCAGCAGTCTGCAAAAGTTTAGAGGCCAGAAGGAGGTAGTCAGGCAGGCATGTTTAATTCTGTGGGGAGGCAGTGCCATCTTTGGGGTCAGGCTGTGGTGGGGGCAGTGGGATGGGGGAGGATGAGGTGCCAGGTGAAGCAGCTATGGGGAGCGAATGCATGACTCTGAGAAGCAGTGTGATACCGTGGAATTTGTGTTTTAGGAAGCTTTTTGTGGCTGACTAGGGGGAATGGATTTCTAGAAGTCCTGTGAGGCGGCCACCATCCTCAGGGTTGGGCAGTGATGCAGCCGGAATGAGAGTGTCAGTCGAATTGGTGACAAAGCCGCGGGGTGACTGGCTGTCAGGAGGGAGGGGTGGGGAGCGGTGAAGAGGACTTTCCGGGATTCCTTCCGGTTTAGGTGCAGAGTAGCAGATTTTCGAGGAAGAAAGAGGATGAATCCAACTTTGGAAATGTGGGTTTGAGTGCCTGAGGCTCCCTCAGTGTGTCTGCGGATCTCGGGACAGAGGTCTCGTGGGCTGTGATATGGAGTTGGGAGTCTTCACTTTGAAATCATGAATGTGAAACATAGATCACCCCATGAGTGAGGTGTAAGAAGGTAGAAGGGATAAAGATAAAAACCTTGGCAACATGTAAGAGATGAGAGGAAAAGTGGTAGAGATGTAAGCCAAGGGAGAATTCTAAGAAAGAGGCTGATAGTATTGGATGCTGCAAAGAGTTCAAGAAAGATAAAGATGAAAAGAAAATGTATTTGAACTTTGCAACAGGAAGGGCTTGTTGACTTGGACGAGAGTGGTTCTGGTGGAGTGGTGGGTGTGGCAGTCCCTTTCACCTGGAGATGTTCAGGAAGCTTTCATGTGGGCGGGTGTGGACTTGGGGTTGTCAGGATATGGCAGCATGTGTGAGGGATGTCTTTGATCTGTAGAAATTGACTTAGGGACCCTTGAAGGGCGCATTTTCATTGACATTGCAGTTTATACCCACTTCACAGGACTTGGCCATGGAAGAGCCTGTGTGGCTCTTTGCTTCTCTTCCCTGATACTGGTCTACAGTTTGGGGCCAGGGAGAGAGAGGAAGGAAAACGAGAGCAGGGTGGGGAAGAGAAGGAGAGAGCCAGTGTCAGGTTACTTTCAGCTGCCACATTCTGAATCAACCCAGTGTCTCTCCTGTGCCCTGCGTCTGACCTGCTGGTGCAGGTGGAGAACCTTCCACCGCAGCCTGGGGCTGGGCATGGCGTGTGTTTCTCTGCCCTGCTCAGCTGTGTGGCCCAGACAACAGCCGCTTCTTCTGTCCCTGCGGCTCCGCTAACTCATCGGTCTTCTCAGGCTCTCTTTCCGCTGCGGCCGCCTCATCCTCGGCGCATGTCCTCATCTGCTCTCAGAGGAGACCGAGTTCATGGGAAACTGGGGACCTCCTTGCAGCCCCTCACTTCTCCGTTTCACAGAGATTGGTGTCCCTCCTTCTCTCCGTGCGGGCCTTTCCCGTCTGGCCCTCTGGTCTTCTCACTTGCCTTGGAACTAGGCTTCCCTCGAACCACTCCTTATCCTAGAAACTTTCTTAGGCAACCTCAGCTCCTCTTGCCTCTTTGAAACGGCCACCACCCTGCCCCTGCCCGTAGAACCTAAACCTTCGGGATCCTCCCCTGCAGGTTTTATGGAGCTTTCAAATGCAACAGGGTAACTCGTCTTGCATCACCTGAGTCTGTCCGGTTTGTGTGTGCCGGGACTGGTTACCATCCACTCCAACCCTCAGCCTGGGAGATGGCATCCTCCAAAATGTCTCTACTTCCACTCCGTTCTTCACCTTGCCACGCATCTGATTATGTGTCTTGTCTGCTTAAAACCTTTTGGGGGTTCAATGTGGCTTTCAAAATAAGTCTTAGTCCCTTAGTAGCAGGCGCATCTTGACCCAGTCCTTGCCCATCCTTCTGGCTTCAACGCTTCCAGGCTCCCCCGGCATCCCAGGCCCCAGCTGCCCATCCGGAAGTTCTTGCCGTTCATGGAGCAGCTGGGACTCCTCCGCACACGCCTCCGCCTCTGCTGCCTGGTGAACGGCTGCTCATTCTTCTAGATCGGTTGTGCTTGTGATCAAACCCACGTGATTTGTCTACAAAGAATGAATTCTCTTTCACACCAATCTATCTGTTTAGAGCCACCCCACTCCTCATTTTTACACTTTAGATGCTTCCTGGATGCAGTTATTACCTGGTCATGCTTAACTTAGGGTAATTTAGTTTTATTTTCAGATCACTGACTTCCAAAATAATCAAGGATGGAACTGGCCTTTTTACTATGAATTTAGGTTTAGTATAGTTTTTACTAGAATCAAAGTGCTGATTAGTGGAATGTGAAAAGTGGCACCCTGATTATTGCAGGTATAAAAGGAACAACTAGAAAGCATTTTATTTGCACGTTTATAAAAAAACATGCGAGAATAAATGAAATCTTTTATATCAGAAGTTTTATTGACTCTCTACATATTAATAAGTTACCATTGAAGTGTACTTTTTCCTCTTTTCAGTCAAAATTTCTTGCCTCCTCAATAGTTTATTTTGAGATCTTTACCAAAAGAGGTGCACAAATCTTTCTAATAAGATTTGTAAGCACCTTTTAAAAAGCTAATAAAAAAGAGTTATTGTTGTAGCATAGAGTATGTTGATATTGGTTGTGAGACTTTTCAGTGAAAATCAGGAAGACTTTAAAAAATTAGAGAAATCTGTTTTTTCCCCCTTATTTTCATACTTTAAAGAATAGAACTGTATAAAATGATCAAAATATCAGGGTCTTATTTTCTGCTTTTGTTTCTTTTTCTTGAGATAGAAAGTAGCTACAATTAGCTGTCATCCCTTGTATCATCCCTTCTCTCTGTAAAAAGTATCTTCACTCCTCTGATGTTTTCCAAGTGACCGTTCCTGTATCAGCCAGCAGCGGGAGGTGACTCCAGTGCAGTTTTTACTGCTCACTGCGAGGAAGAGCTAAAATATCTTCCGTCTCTATGCCCACAGCTATGTTTTTCTTAGCCTCCAGTAGGAAAACCTTTTAATTTCTGTCTCCCAACACTATGAACCATAAAAACAGTCTGGCGATCACCCCAGGTTCAGAGAACAAAATCAGCAAAGGCCTGAGTGTTGCAGCCAGCACACCACACGAGCAGCTGTTAACCGCTTAGCATCCACACGGGTCACACAGGAGCTTCTGGACTTTTTGCCACAACCATCACCCTGTCGGGAAGAATGAGCCAACCAAGTTCCTTTGGTATTTCTGTTCACTCTAGGGTCCTAGAGAACAAACTGAAGCTGCCTTTCTGGAGAAAGAATCATTTGTATACTATTTATAATTTATATAGTTCATAGTAAACATGGGCAGCTATAACTATTCCGTGAAAGTGAAAGTGTTAGTTGCTCAGTTGTGTCTGACTTTTTTTGCGACCCCACGAACTGTAGCCCACCAGCCTCCTCTGTCCATGGAATTCTCCAGGAAAGAATACTGGAGTGGATAGCCATTCTCTTCTCCAGGGGATATTCCCAACCCTGGATCGAGCCTGGGTCTCCTGCATTGCAGGCAGATTCTTTACCATCTGAGCCACCACAGAGATTCTGTCAAAAAGGCAAAAAAATTTCTTTTTGGAAAAAAAAATCCTTCTATATCAGGAAATATAAAATGTATACACAAAGTGTATAAGACAAAAAACATGCAGCTTAATTAATCAACATAGAGCATAGAAAAGAATGAAATAATGCCATTTGCAAGAACATGGATGGACCTAGAGATTATCATACTAAGTAAAGTAAGCCAGACAAAGACAAGTATCATATGATATCGCTTATGTGTGAAATCTAAAATAATGATACAAATGAATTTATTTACAAGGCAGAAATGGACTCACAGACATAGAAAACAAACTTATGATGACCATAGGTGGGGAGGGGGACAAATTAGGAGTTTGGGATAAAAGTATATATACTACTATATGTAAAATAGATAATCAACAAGGACCTACTGTATAGCTCAGGGAATTATATTCAATATCTTATAATTACCTATAATGGAAGAGAATGTAAAAAAGAATATAAATATGTGTGTATATATATGTGTGTGTCTGAATTACTTTGCCGTACACCTAAAACTAGCACAATATTGTACATCAACTATAATTCAATAAAATTAAAAACACAGAGCAGAGGCTTGTGTAACCATCACTTTGATCAAAAAAGAATGGAACCAGCACCACAGTCACTGCCACCTCCTTCCCATTGCCACCCCCTCACCCGCCCACATAGTTACTCACTGTCCTGCCTAAAACCCTTTTAAAGTGGGTTTCTGTTTGTTTTCTGTGGGGCTGCCTGAGAGAGAGCAGAAGCATGGCCTTGGGGGGCTGGGGGTCTCCGGGCAGGTTCAGAGGAGGCTTGGTGGATGGTAGCGTGGCAAGCTATCTGACCCCAGGTGCAGGCATGGACTTGAGTCTGTCATAGCATCTGCCCTGCAGACTGCTCTTTGTAAAAGCTGCAGTGATTCAGTCCTCTAGCCTGTGCTGAATTCCCAAACCCTCCCTGGAAGTTGAGTCTGTGGACCTGCTATGTTCTAACGCACGGTAGTAACTTCTTTCCACGCAATTCCAGGACCTTAGCTTATTGCCAGTGGGTGGACAATCTCAATGAGACCCGGAAGATGCTCTCTCTTAGTGGTGGCGGTCCCTTCAGTAACCTGCTGAGGTGGGTCGTGTGCCACATAACGAAAGGAATCGTGAAACGCGAGATGCATGGCCACGGCATTGGCCGCTTCTCCGAGGAGGAGATTTACATGCTGATGGAGAAGGACATGCGGTCTTTAGCAGGGCTTCTGGGTAACGTACCACACCTTCTATTCTGTATTTTCTATCCTTACTTTTTGCATGATTAGTAAAGCACTGCTAGTTTACTGCTTTAAAGCTTTATTTTGGTTGATTTCTTTGCTTCTACATGTAGGTTGCAGTCCCACCTTTTAACCAAGTCCCCTAATTTTCAGGAACATATGTCTCTTCTGAATCACTAGAGGGTGAGTGTTTCTAGTGTGGTGAAGCTCCCAGGTGAAGAGAACGTAGAACGTGGCATAGCATTACCAACTGGCTGTAAGTGATGATATTTCTGAATGTGTTGTGAGCCAAGGAGGAATTTGAGCAAGGAAGCTCTTCTATTTATAAATGGGTCAGGGTGAAAGGCTATTTATAGACACATCTGCTCAGAAGATTCGGCTGGGTACTGTTGACCTCCAGCTGAGAGAGATGCCAACCCAGCCTGAGTGAATGAGAGACATTTGACATTTTCTCACGTCTTTCATTTCCCTTTGTAATCTAGTTGTCTTCTTATTAGCGTGTTTGCGCTCTTCTGATTTTGTATTTACTGCACCTAGTGGGTTTAACTGGGCTTGGGAAGCCTCTCAAAGAGAAGCACCAAGGGGCCTCTCTCCATGTGTGTGTGACGATGCTCAGTCGAGTGACCCACCCTTGCTCACCTGGTTGGCTGGTGGCTGGGGGCTGATGTGACATTGTTCTGAGTGAAGCTTGAGCCTTAGCTCTGACAGTTCACAAGCAGATCTTTTGAATTCAGCTTCGATGTGTGAAATAATGGCCTCTCCTGGGGACAGCTCGTGTATACGGAACCAAGGTCATAGGACCTAGTCCTTCAGAGCTGCTGATTTTGTCCAGCGACTGTGGTTTTCCTTGGTCCTCTCTTGGTACCCTCATCTCTGTTCTGGAGCACATTAAGTACCTCACCTCCTCCAGGAAGTGGAGTTTCGGATTTGTTTTGTTCAAACCTCCCTGGTACCCAGGAACTAGGGGCTGTTCTGTCACCCATGCAGAGTGACCCACTCTGACTAGCTCCTTCCTGCTCCTCGCCGCAGATGCTTACTGGACCTGGAGTCCTCCCTGGAACCTGCAGAGAGAGATCCCAACAGCACACCCAAGTCTTGGCCAGCTTTGTTGTGGGGGCAACAGCAAGGGGTGGGCGGGCTTGATGCGCTGGCTGGGTTCCTGCTCTAAACAGTCATTCCGAAGCCCCGCCTGGCTTGGAGGTTGATGCCGTCTGGACCCGCTGGGGCTTTGTCCCCGTGGGCCCAGGTGGGCCTGCCTGATGTAGGTATGAGTGGAATTTGCCTCCAGTTTGTCTCGTTTCTTTGGAAACTTAGTGCTGGACCCTGGGCCACACAGGAGCCAGTGCAGGGAGGACCATTTCTTCTCAGCAGTGACCCCATCTGCTCCTGGCTTCTTCCCCAGCTTTCACTGTAGGGAGCCCCAGAAAGCTAGGAGTTGAGCTTCCAAAGTGATGATAGTTCATCTCTAATGGTTTAACAGTGCTGGTTCCTTAACCAGAGTGGGGTGATCATCTCCCTTCTAGAGCATTTTTGGTTGGGGAACTTGGGATCAGGGTGATAGTCATAGCGAGGATAACACCAGTGTCTCTCCCATGTTTGATTTCTCCCCACTGCTGGTAAGATGGGAGGCAGTTGCGTCACTGATCGCTAGGCTGGATGCTTGGCAAGTGTCACAACGGCATTCTGAGTCCAGATGAGTTTCTAGGATGAGAAACTGAGTGGGTTATTTGAAAAACTAAAGTTTGCTAGAGTTCTATTCTGAATGGGGGTCCAGGGAGCAGTCTGGCTTTGAATTCTATCATAAGAGAAGCACATCTTCTGTGTCTGGGGAAGAAGAGGCTCTCTGGCTGAGCATCATAATTTTCTTACTAAATGAGGCAGAAAGCATCTACTTTTCCCCTCACCCAGGATATAGCTTACTTATAATATCCAGCTATTTTATGATGTTGCTCTTGGAGGCGGAGGGCAGCATGGACTATAGAGTCTCATCATTGAAGTCAGTTTCCTGGGCTTGGTGAGTTGAAGTCATACTCATCCTTAGGAGGCTGGCTTCCAACAAGGAGATGTGTTAAGACTCCAGGCTGAAGTGCACAAGTACTTGAGGAGAAAAGGTCTCTTTCTTTTTTAGGAGCTGCTATTGAAAGAGCCCTGCTTCCCTGCTGGCTCAATAGCAAAGAATGTGCCTGCCAATGCAGAAGATGCGAGTTTGATCCCTGGTTCAGAAAAATCCCCTGGAGAAGGAGATGGCTACCCACTCCAGTCATTTTTGCCTGGGAAATCCCATGGACAGAGGAGCCTGGCTGACTACAGTCCATGGCATTGTGAAAGAGTCAGATAGGACTTAGCGACTAAACAATAACAACAACAGTGGAAAGAGCCAAATAATAAAGTGGAATTTGTAAATGAAAGTGAGAAAAACAAGCTGGTTTCCAGCCAACTGCACTAGACTAAAGTGAAAGTGAAATGCACGTTTCCCTCCTGATCTGAGGCTTTATTGATTCATGAAAATGACTTGGGGAGTCTTTACCTTTCAGAGTCTTTGTTGCCATTGCGTTGGCACATGTCAAAAAGTCAGATCTATTGGTTATTTTAATAAACATCAGTGTGTAGTCTTGGCTAGTTAATAAAGAGTAATGGGATGTAAAGTAGTTCTTTGTTTCAAAGGAAGCAAAATGAGTCACTTGTCACGTATATGCTTTGTGTCACTCTTATCAGCTTGTAGAGTTACAATGTGGTATAGTTTTTCAAAATGATTATATTTTGCTGTTGAACTAAAAAAAATAAAATCATTTAAAATTTGTTTATTTTTCAATTTGTAAATAACTTTGCTTTTCAAATATATAGATATTCAACTGATCACTTAGTTCTTAGAGAAATAATATATGAAAGTGCAAGTTGCTCAGTCATGTCTGACTCTTTGTGACCCCTTGGACTGTAGTCTGTGGAATTCTTCAGGCCAGAATACTGGAGTGGGTAGCCTTTCCCTTCTCCAGGGGATCTTACCAAACCCAGGGATCGAACCCAGGTCTCCCGCATTGCAGGTGGATTCTTTACCAGCTGAGCCACAAGGGAAGCCCAAGAATACTGGAGTAGGTAGCCTATCCCTTCTCTGGCAGGTCTTCCCAACCCAGGAATCGAACCAGGGTCTCCTGCATTGCAGGCGAATTCTTTACCAACTGAGCTATCAGGGAAGCCCATAAATAATATACAGAAGATTAATAATATATAGACTTTGTGACTAGTAATAGAAAAATCTCTAACTCATTTTTTAACCTGAAATACCTTTGGGGTCCCATCTGTCCAAACTGAAAAGGCTTGCTATGGAGCAGAAGTGGTGATGTGGTATATTAATTCTGTATCCTGCAACTTCACCAGATTTACTGATGAGCTCTCATAGTTTTCTGGCGGCATCTCTAGTATTTTCCACATATAGTATCATGTCATCTGCAAACAGTGACAGTTTTACTTCTTCCCTTCCAGTTGGGATTCATTTTATTTCTTTTTCTTCTTTGATTGCTGTGGCCAGGACTTCCATACTCTGTTGAGTAAAAATGGTAAGAGTGGTCATCCTTGCCTTTTTCCTGATCTTAGGGGAAATGTTTTCAGCTTTTCACTGTTGTGTATGATGTTAGCAATGCGTTTGTCTCATATGGACTTTATTATAAGAGAACTGGTCTTAGAGTGTTGGGACTGCAGAGCAGGAAGCTGGGCTGGGTAAGAAATAGATTGGGGTGGGGATCTGCTAGCTGCAGTGCAAGAACTTCCCTCTTTGGGGAGTGTGCCTTAGGTTGTTGCCAGACTGCAGCTTTATAGTCCTTGTCTTGTGGTTCTCAAGCGCCTGATTGCAATATGAAGCTTTTGGAAAGCAGGTGGACTGGAACTAAGGAAAGTTGAAGCAGTGGCTCCTCCTGTGTGGGCGTTGGCGGTGGATGAAGCTGGACCAAGTTTCTTCTCATGCATCTGACTGCCCCTCAAGTTCAGGCTGGGGAAACAGTCTGTAGGATCGGGGTGTCAGTGGTAGGTCATACTGTTATGAAGGGGTCTTCAGGGAGCCATGCATTTATCTGATCATAATGAAGCAGCACAGGTGACTGAACTCTAGTGTTTCTTTGCTTTTGATTGGACCTTCATAGGCCCTGCATAGTGACGCAGCACTTAGGGGGAAAGCAAATGAATAATTGGCAAATAGAGTTGGTTTGGGAGACATAATCATATCGGGGATAGAATAATAAGAATGCAATTTCAGTTATGAGACTCAGCTGGGCACTCTTGGTGGGCAATAGATACCTGCTGGATGAATGAAGGAGAAAAATGAATGAATGTCTGGAGACGTTTAGCAGCCAGCCAATGAGGCACTCCAGGATTTGTGGATCTGAGGGTACTTTCTGAGCAAAATTTGAAATTTGTGAATGCTTTTAAGAGGCAGGATCAGAAATAAGCCTGGGCTGTCTAGGTGGAAACTGAAAAATCCTGTGAAAGAATGTTCTTTTTAGCCACGGCTGGAGACCTTAGGTGGGAGAGTGTACTTGGAATGATTAGAATGCAGACGGAAGGGTAATGCCTTTGACTCAGGACTGTATGAGTCTGACTGTGGGAGCATAGCAGCATTCAGCTCTTCGTAAGGGACTGTGGATGAGCTGGGGATATTTATTGATTGATTTATTTTTGACTGCGCTGGGTCTTCCTTGCTATGCATGGGCTTTCTCTAGTTGTGGCAAGTGGGAGCTACTCTTCATTGCAATGCACGGGCATCTCACAGTGGCTTCTCTTGTGGGCCACAGGCTCTTCCGTAATTGTGGTGCAGAAGCCTAGCTGCTCCTCAGTGTGGAACCTTCCTCCACTGGCAGGCCGATTCTCTACTGCTGAGCCCCCAGGGAAACCGGATCTGCCTGATTTCCGCATCTGCAGTTCAACCAAGCCTGGATCCTATGTACTATGTTCAGGATACGCGATTGGCTGAATCTGTGGATATGGAACCTGTGGATATGGAGA